GCCTACGGCGCACTAGCGCCATTCTGACACAGCTGGTGTCTCCATGAGTCGACGTCATCAACTAACTAACATCAAATCCACTCAAAAAGGTGTTTCATGTGATTCTTTTCTTCTTTCCCTGGTCTAGGTATTAGCTACTGTAGGAGAGTGAAATTTCTTCATCTGGCTCTTCTACCCAAGTCTCTCTAACTCCCACCACATGACGGAGTGAGACTGTGCCAAGAGGGGGGGTGTCACACAAAGAGCGGGGATTGGTCAGTTGTCATGACCACCCTCCCAGCTATAAGGATGAGCCATCTCTGAAGTGGCAGCAGAGAGGGAAACCCCAAGGACCTTGGAAGAACATGAACAAGCTCTCTGTCTGAAGTGACAGAGGACTTCGAGACCGGCTACACCAGAGACTGTGGTGCCGACACTCAGAAGAGCAGTGCTGAGAGGATGGAGTACCTTCTCATCTGGCCCACAACGATGGAACTGTGGGATGGAGCTCCAGGTAGGTTGGTTTCCTGGCCCATGGAGGCAAAAGTCAAGAGACCATGTGGCTGAAAGACTGGGGACCAGAGAGAGAGTCGACTATTATTACATTGTTGGAGAGGCTGAGAGCCACAGAGAGAGACTTGGCTGCTGGCTGAGACCAATGACGATTTACTGTTTGCAGATCCTGACTTGTGGTAACCTAGTGACCGCCCTAATAAGCCCCCTTAATTTGGGGTATTGTTTGTGAGTTCCTGTAGCCGTTGCAATGAATTATTGAGCAGTTGGTGTTAGAATAGGAAGCAAAGGATGGAGCGTGGGCACATTTCTGACTTTTGACTCATAGCAATAGGGAAGTCAGAGGAGGTCAGGGACATCCACCGCCATTGCTGTTTATTGAAACTACACTGTTGAGTTCTCCTGGTGGAAACTTATCCTGTTGCCATCTTATGAAACATGTAGTTGGGGTATGTTAGCCTTCAACAACACAGGCCTGACCTAGGTGAATTCGTGTAAAAAATGGGTCTGTCTAAAAGGAAAACGAACCCCATACACTAGCCATTCATCTCTCCACTCCACCGCACATCACAGTAAAAAGTGACCTCTCCCATTTCTTGGATATTTTTCTAACATGTTTGGTGCAATACCATAAACCATAAATAACACCCTGGGACCCAGAGAAAAGTCACAACACTGTGAGAAAGGGTTGCATGGGGTGGGTGGGAGGGAGCGTTAGAACTGATTCTGATGAAGTATAAACAACTCTTTTTAAGAGGATGGGCTTAGGGAGCACTGAGTTATGTGAATGGGGGTGAAATCATTTGGAAAAGGATATCCACAATGGTGTACAACACAAAGAATATAATCAACGGCACTGAATTACATGCAGGCTTTGTGAAACTGGATGTTTTGTGTTGTTGTATATTTTTCTGCCACAGTTAGAAAAAGCAATAATTACACGCATACCAATGTGGACCAGGAAGAAGAAAATGCTCTAGAATTGAAGGTGGTGATCGTTACACGACTCTTCTGGATACGGCTGAATTATTGAATTGCATGACATGTGGATGACATGCCAATAAAAATGCTAAAATAATAAAAAAAATTTAAAAACTTGAATGACTTGATATGTCCCGTAGACTGAGGTCCGCCATTCCAAGATAAATTAATGCAGTATGAGGAGGACCATTTTTTTTAAAAAAAGGAAAGGAAATTTGTCAAGCTTCACTGCAACCGCGTTGCCAAAACCACCTTGCATTTTGGCAAGCTCCCTTTTTAATCTTGGATTGAAAATGCAACTGTTTTGTGTGTGAGTGTGCTGGATAACACACACAACATACAAAATGTGTTCATCAACTGTGTATGTTCTTGGCAAGGTTTGCAATCCACAATAGGCAATTACTAGTTACATTTTTGGGGGGCGATTTGTTTTTGGGGGGGGCGGGGCAAAAGTTCCCAAGAAGCCAAAAATAATGTGGCCTTTTGACCACATGGTATGAGGGTCACTGCTCCTAACCTCTACATTGTTCAAGGGTAAACTACGTGGAAAAAAAAGCATTTTTTTTTTTACTTGAAAGCTCTACAACTGTAAATACTTTTTTCCACTAGCAATAAATACAGATCTCTAAACCCACACACATACACACACACACACCCCTCCAACCATTCCATGTAGATCCAGACTTTACTCCTTCCGCCAGAAGAAACCTTCAAGGTGATGGGGGCATTCCCCACAGCATCCAGTTTGTGTCCTTAGTCCAATTCAATACCAGGGATGTTTTCGACAACAGTTTGGGAGCTTGAGACTGGTGGCTGTTTATCTCTCTTTTCCAGGCTATGTCGAATCCCATATCCAAAATAGATAGCAAAGCCTAGTAGAGAAATGAGGCAAAGATGTAGAAAGTAGTCATCTTCCCCAGGCACGAACGCCCAAAGGGTCTCCCCCTTACGATGTCTGAGACAGATATAGGGAAAGATGAAGGGAAGGACGTGGGGCTCAGTCTCCTGAAGGCCCTCTTGTCCCCAAGAAGCCACTTACCAACTGCCATCCAGACTCCGAACTTTGTCCAGGTGCCAGAAGTCAACTGCATCATCAAGTAAATATTTACAAAGATGCTCAGCAGTGGTAAGAAAGGCAAAGCCGGGACCTGTGGACAAAGTCAATTAACTCCCAAAAGACTGAAAGAAAGATCCCCTCGGCCCACTTGCATGAAAGGAAGACTGCAGCCCAGCTCAAGCTGCCCACTGGTCATCCATGCCCATCGTTCGATTCTCTAAGTGTCTGTGAATCCCACTGATTGCAGACTGGCATTGACCTACAGCAATCACTGGGGATACATTAGCCAACATTACCCACAACATCCTAAGATTGAATCTTATATTCATGTCCAGTGCCTCTTCATA